GGGAAGCAACGGTGTGGTATCGCATCAAAATCCCCAGGCGCATCTGTTTCACCTGCGAACTGATGATAGCAGATCCATTCTACGACTTTTCTCCAGTACGCACAAGTTGGGATTGATTGATTGCCCGTATGATGGATTGAGACTATGCACGTATGAATGGCCCATAATGCTGAAGATCACTGTCATCATGTGAATCGTTATTTATTACCATTCATCCCGGGAGTTCATTGAGCGGCTTGTATAGAGGCATCGGCCCCGTGTTCATTGTCGAAGTATTGTCGGCCTCTGCGATCTCATTGAGAGCGATGACCGAACACCCGTCTTTTGTAGTCGGGGAGAGCAACGAGACTTTCGCCCTCCCATGCGGAGGATATCCTGAAGCGTCGGGCGTTCGATCGCGAGGATGAACTTGTTCTTCTTGGTCGAGTGATCGCCCCGATATGCGAGCGGACGTCCAGGCAGAAATGAATGTTATGTCGAAACGTGGGTCTTCGGCGCTCGATCCGCGCCGCTGGAAATTTCCATTCGTCCCGAGCGTAACGCAAAGTGTTCAATTCCATCGGCCCTCGTGTTTCCTGTCTCCCAGGCCGTCTGCTCGCTTGGCCGCTCAATCGGACGATCGGCCGGTCGCTTGCACGCTCGGTGGACGGTCATCCGGTCACCGAAACCGCGTCGGGGCTTCCCCTGTGAGTTGAGAGCATGAAGTTATCACTAAATGACGTTTTGATGAACGATAATGACTTGTCCTTCATTATCTTCACCATTAGACGCAGTCTGAGGTCAGCTTTCACACGACGCCGACGTTTAATTAATTGGCGTCTCTGAAATCGTGCGATCTAAGCTGTTCGTCGGGGCTGTTTTTCTTCTTCTTCCCATTCCACGAGTCCCGTCCCGATTCGTCGATAAATTCCTCCCGGCTCGCATCTGTCGGAGCCAGTGTCAGAGCCCTTGCACAATCTAGTATATCAGAGAGGAATTAATTATTATCGACCTACGTTCGAACCCTCCCCGCAATTGTCCGGAACCTGGGGGTTATGGGTCCATTCCTCGGATATGGATCGCAAAGATCCGGAGAGTAGCCCATAACGCCTACGGACGCGATAGCTGCGTCTCGGCTCATATTTTTTTGAAGTTTGCGGACGAGGGCATGCGAGAACGAATCACAGCCCTCTCAGAAAGTTCCCTGTTTTAAAACAACCCGTGGAGCAGTTTGCGCCGCCTCGCGTTCGATGCAGCCCCTTGGGCAATCAACGCGTCGTAAACTCCACTGTTCCCCGCTCTAAAAGGACGCCGAACCCAGGTGTAACCCTAGTCGAGGTCTAATAGCTCGGGTGAGAGAAAGAGTAGAATACCGTAACAAGAGCAGCCCGTCGATTGAGGGGAGATCTAATTTTCTCGGAGCAACAGACGAAACTCCCTGGGAGAATCGACGCAAAAACGAGCAGGTCGCAGCGGTTCTACTGTACCTTCATGTTCTGTTTGGTGTAGTTCCTTTTCCACGCTGTCCACGCCGTCGGAGAGGGAAATAGGCATTTAGAGTCCGAGGTCGCGTTCGATAGACGCAACATCACGATTATCGCTGTTTGACTCGGCACTGGTTTCTCGCTGCTAATGACAGCGAAAAAGAGAGCAAGCATCATTGATCTGTGCCGAGTGCATGGCGAACGCCACGTAGGCGAACTGGTGATCATCGGCTCCGGCTACAAGGAGGAAACTCGCGCATCAATTATCGACGGAAGAAAACCGATCATTAGACAGCAAGCAACCACCGCGACGTGACGGTCTTGCGTAGACTTTAGGTGGGGAACACATCTGGCCTGGTTTGCCCCTCAATTTCCGGGGCGCTCATTGGACCCTCCGTCGTTTTTCCGGCGACTCATCCCATCGGCCAGCTGGAGCAGGGAATCATGGAAGGCCGATGCATATACATGGATTCGCTTGCTGAAGCGCCCTGCTCGGCGGGACCAGGACCCCGTTTCGACAGAAAAGGTGGTCCCCTCGAATGAAGCTCAGGGAGTGGAGTGAGCGGCACCGCCTTCGATTTTCTCGGCTCTGGACCACCGTCGAGTCGCTTCATGAGACTCGAACTCAGAGAAGGACCCCAACATTGCCATATTGGACTTAACCGCTGGCGAGTTGCGATCCGAAGCGAGTCTACCGTCCCGATCTTCGTCTTGAAGATCCCCACAAATTCGTATCAGGGAGTCCTACCATCGATAGATACAAGGAATCAACTGAGGAACTCAGACTTTCCAGCCATGGGGGCAGTAAACCCACCAGCTTTTGTCTGCTCGGCTCCCGGGCATCCTTTCCCCGACTGGCGTCTGGATTCGAACCCATACCGAGTCGTAGAGCGCAATAGTCGGCGACGCCCAGGACCATGCTACCGGCTCTCTCGCACAAGTTCATCCGTGCAAGGACTTCGCTAGGATTTCGTTCTGTCCAATTGTCGGTACGATTTGGGAGCTTCACGATATCTGCGATATCGCGTGGTTTTGTTGGACTGTTGGACTGGACAATGTCATCTCGATACATTCAGAAAGGACAAACCGGGAAAATAACGCCTGCGACCTCTCAACGGCATTTGTACCTCTTCATCGTTGATTCGGTCGATCAGTCATCGCAGCTATACCCTGGCTAAGCCTTGGAATATGAATAATGCCTCAACCTGCCTACGCTCAACATGATACCGGCTCAGTGTGTCTCTAGATATTATTGCGATAGAAGATTGCGAGACAAAATTCGTGTGATCTTCTCGAGCCTGCTGCTAGATCGTGATCGCGTCACAGGTTTCCCTGCCTCCCTACATCCCTTCTCGGTCGATGTCAGGAACTCTTGATGGAGTATCAATATTCTCCAATCAAGAGCGACGATGATCGGGGGTGTGTCGCTCCCAGCCAGGAATCGAATTGATCGTCTATCTCCTGTCTACTCTGTGATGTACCTACCGATTTGCGATCGATTGAAGTCCAGAAGCTGCTAACCCCCAGCAGCCTCTGGGTTGAAGGTCGCTCCACGGTGTGAAACAGACGCAGGTGATCCCCGCAAATTCTTCAGCGCCAGTGTCTACGACTAAGACGATCGTGGGCTCGGAACGTCTTGTATACTGGATCCACCCAATCTCAAAGGTTAGGGAAATCCCATGTTCATGCCGAATGAAACTCTGTATGGCTCGCGACCGACTAGATCTGTGAGTTCAAGATCCCTCCATCTTTGGACTCATTTCCAAGAAATTCATGGCTCCTTGATCGGTTTTTGCCTCTTCAGAGCTCAATCGAGCAGTTCTACCGCTCTGCACTTTTCTTCGTGTCGCCTTGCATTCCCTGCGAGACCCCGCCCAATCCTAGGAATCGTTACATATTCAACGACAGGAGTTCGCTACCTCAACTTCAATCTGGCACTTCATCGTACGAGTTGCCGTGAGCCGGAAGAAATGCCGAAGCTAGATTTTCCAGACATTGGCAGCTGAGCACGGTCGTGGAATCGAATGGGTTGGAATTTACCCGGGTTCCCGACCACGTCGATGTCCAAAGTAAAGACTGTGAGGTGCCGGACTGTGTCCATCGTTGTCTCGAATGATTTTTTTTAAAGGCTGCTTTCGTTTTATAATGAAATCGTGTATTCCTAAAGTCCACTAGGGCCGGGCCCTGTCAGTGGTATCGCCATCGTATCGTCACGCGTTTTGAGGTGGGACGCGACACCCAGAAGAAAAAAAATTTTTGATGACAGCAGCAGAGGAATCAAGCAAGATTCCTAAAAGGGGGGTCAGCGAACTCGTCTGATGGTCTACTGAAAACGAATTTCCTGATTCTTTTCTTGACAGCACATTCGCCTCGAGTATCGCATCTAGTCTGTCGTGAATCTTGACGTATCGATTGAAGTAGAATTTATCCGATCTAACCGATTTGGACAAGGGCGGGCGCAGAGCAGATGCGTTCCTTGTTGAATAAGAGCGTCGCTGTTGGCGTCAGCATTCCTGACTCTACACTCCATGATTGAGCACTGTAGATAGAGTTTCCTGAGTGGTAGGATGCCGCTTCTGTCATAGTTCTGTTGCATGGTCTCCCCATCTTTAGTTTTATTGTCATAGATCTGTCTCGCTTATTTCCACTGGGGAAGGGCGTACCAACCAACGGAGATTGGTGCCTTGTCGACGACGACGACTTCATGGGCTCGCGAAGCTCGACGAATTTCGTTGCAAACACAAGGGAATACATTCGATCGACCACTGGAGCAAAAACGAGGACTTTTCCGCCTTAATGTCCGTCGAGCTCTGGATGAACTTGATGAACCTCTCCCCAGCTCGCTCCTCGAAGCCGTATACCCTGGAGTCGTCCCCTATTGAATTAGGCAGCCTGGCTGAAGCCCCAGAGGGCTTGGCAGAAGATTCCTGTGCCATCCGAGCGTTGAAGCAGGGCTCAATTTTGCTGCTGCATGAGGTTCAGAACACCCCGGGTTCCAGATCGAGCTTCCAGCACTCTTCCAGTCTGCCTCTCCGAGAGCGTCCCGAAAATCCCGAATGAGAGACCCGACTTATCAGAAGCAGCAGGTCAGTAGAATTCCAGTATCGCAGACGATAAGATTCGGCATCCCCCATGATGTCTCTGGCAATGAGTCCGCATTCCACATACAGTCAACTTCCCATAATTCGGAATGGCAGTGTGTCGATTTCCCGAAAGAGAGTCCGAGTTCCGAGTTATGGGAGGCCATAGATATGAGAATACGGATTTTCGATCACGGCCCCGAGGACGTCTTATTCAGATTGAAATTTAGTAGGAATCACCTCAGATGCTGACGGTGGAAGTGAGTGTCTCTTGGCGGGGAGATATACTTAGGGGAGAACACATGTGGAGATTTGGAGAAGACAATCTTTATTCCAAGTGAGAAGGTCAAATTATGCCCTCACGACCTCGTTTGTGGACTCACTACATACGTCCCTAAGAGAGCTACAACCAACGATAGACATTCGTACACTTATCGACAATCGACAAGAGCACCGCTCAACTCTTAAAGTAGGACCGTATATCTCTCTGGGCATCATTCTTGAACATATCTGCCATAACAATTCCCAGATACTTGTTGAATGAGCGACCGATATCTGGCTCAGCTTCCGATCGCTGTCCGCAGTGTCTTATCAGGACCTCGAGAGCTCCAATCGCTTCTCGGTCAGATACTCTGGGATCTTCCGTTTCCTCGATTGTAACATCCCAGTCGTCGTCCAGGCCGAATCCACAGTCCTCATCTTGCCGAGCTTGCAATTCGTCATCTTCCGAAACGATGCCATCAAGCAGATCGCGAGTGACCAAGTTTTCATCGAAGTCCACATACTCCTTGAAGGTCAGATTATGAGGGAAAATGAGGCGAGAGATCGCAGGGTTGACAGATTCTGGATTGTTCTGATCCAGATCCTCTGATGGCGAGTCATTTCCGAGCCTCCCGTGCACACCCGGCAAGCCGTGATTGAAGCACTTCTCGATGCTAGAAGCCGGGACTTCACCCCATGATTCTCGTAAGAAACGGATCCCTCGCAAAATGTTGATTTCCTTGAAGGCTCCATCGACCGTTTTAGACTGTGACCAGTAGTAGTGCACGAGTTTCTTCTTGTACAAGGCCTTAGTCATGCGTATCACGCCTTGGTCCATTGGTTGGGTCCTCGACGTCGAATTCGCCGGGAGGAATAGAATCTCAATGTTTGGAAGTTCCAGTCTGAGGTCCGGTAAATGACCTCGGAAATTGTCGAGTAAGAGAAGAATGCACCTTTCATTTCGCCCGCAATAGGCCTGGAGATTGACAAGCCATTCGCTGAAAATTCGAGAGTCCATCCAGGCTCTCCGTTGGTGCCGATATTCGCAACCTAGAACATCTGGTGCGTGATGCACTTGGCTCCTTGGTTTTTTCGGTAAAACAACGTGGATTCATACTGCGCCCGATGACTAAGGGTGTCAACTTCTCTGAGCCTGACCAATTGGCACACAGTAGAACGGTGAAACGTTCCTTACTTTGTTCTCCTCCGTGGCACTTTTCTCCTTTGAAGTGAACTGTTCGTTTCGGGAGCATCTTATAGAAGAAGCCTGTTTCGTCCGCATTGAAAATGTCTCGCGGATCATACTTCTGAAGCGTCGGTTTATGACGCTCTAACCAGAGCCTGATATCTTCCTCATTTACCTTCTCAGCCTCACCGCACATTTGCTTCGTAGACAGACCATGACGAGTTTTGAACCCATCCAACCACTTGTCGGAGGCTTTGAAGTCCACAACACCAAGATTACTCGCGATCGTCTTTGCTTCTTCCTGCAGCCAAGATCCGCAGATGGGGAGCGTTCCTTGGTTTCGACGTGCTTCCACGAATCTCCTGAGCAGGATCTTCTCGATGACATTGAACTTTGGTGGCTTGAAGCGTTTCTGACGGTTCGCCGTGGTACCATCGGCGGCTTGCATGCGGATCTTCGCTTCCTCGCTTCGGATTTTATACACCGTGGATTTTGAAATTTTCCATTCTTTCATCACATCGCAAACGCTTTTCTTTGCCAGGCTGTCGAGTACTCTCACTTTGTCCCTCAAGGTCAGAGAGTGATTCTTATGGATCCTGGGCGGAGACATCGGGTAAAATCTACATAGAGCACTGTGCGATAAAATGATTCCACCGTCCGCGATTCCACGACGGGTATCGAATCATCGGCATCGTTCGAATGTCCTCGCGGTCGGAGACGTGCTTTGTGTTTAGACACGCGCGTTCAAACTTATTTTGGGTGGAATGTGCTACCAGATAGGCAGAGAGAAAAAGTGGAGCGGTGGAGGGAGCTTCCCGAGATACTCGTAGGATTTAAAATCGCGGAATAAGCGATTCATGCTGCGGCTAGTTCCGATTTAGAGACTTTCCTGGGTTCCGAGTTCTGGGACGATTTCCGAGTCAGGGGAGGCATTTTCTTTCATGTAAGCAAACTCTCTCCCCTGGAGATACGTTATAGCTTGACAGTCCCTGATGGGTCTGTTGGCCCGTGACACGGAACCGGGGCTTTAACACTGTTCTCAGAGTCCGAATTAGGCTCCGAAATCCAGTCCGAGTTCCGAGTTGTAGGGTGATTCCGACTTACGAGATTCCGAATTATGGGAAGTTGACTGTACATGGTGTGGTGTAATTCAGGCGGAGAACTGGTACCCTCAGCTTGCTTCGAGCCCGCATATCGTGGATCACGTTTTCACTTCGTGCCTGGCTCAAGCGGTCTCAGGTCAGGACAAGATATGTGGAATGTTCAAACTAATAATAGATATGACAATTTATGAACTCGACCTGTTCTCTCTTCAACTAATTTCTTAAACTTTACCGAGCTCTGCTCACTCGAAAGGCATCCGTATCCCTCCTTGAATCGCGATCATCTGACGATTTTTTTTTTGTCGAACAACAATGTAATGTCTTATCCGCCCATGAGCTAGGTGATTCCAAATATGATTATTCGTCCATATCAGCTGCGAATCGCGAATCGAAATCGGGGGGCTAGGTCCCACTCGAATTTGCCAAGAGGTTTGAGCAGAGTCGGTTGAGCACGGAAAAATCGAGGGCCTGTCAGGGATCCCTATGGGATAACCTGGGACTGTACAGAATTTTTCTGCTCCGTCTCTGCTTCGTCCCTGCTTTGTCTCTGCTCACCATGCTTATCGACTCTGCCTGAACGTTTCGGTCAATTACACCTCTCGAACGAAGTTTTTCCCCCGAAAAGTTTGTACTTCATCCGTCGCGGAGCCTGTCATGTCTCATGAGTCATGAGACATGACAGGTGGCCAACAGCCTTTCTGAGTATGATGAGAATGGTGGGCATACAAGCAAAAATGTACGAAGGGACCGAGTACCTGAAAATAACATACAACTGCGAAACAATCGAGGTTGCATATTCAGTCTCGAGAGCACCATGTTTGAACACCTATAAGTCTGAGATAAAAAGGAAAATCAGAGAGACCCAGGAGAGCGTCTGGAGACAGGACATGATGCTGAAATCAAGCCTCGATGTTTACCGGCAAGGCAAGAACAGCCTCGGTGTCCAAACCTTCCTCTACGGGAACCAGAGAGGGGACACTCTCCTGGCCTTGGCCGGGGCTGGGATATCACCGACGAAAAGCCGAGGTACGTCTATTGACCCTTAGCAGGAGGACACCTGCCCCAGATGCGGAACATTTGAAGAGACCGTGAAACATGTGATCTTCGAATGCAACGACGCATATTACACGGACGGAGACTTCCTCTCAAGATTAGGCCTCCAAGCAAGAGGAAAAACAGGAACCCAGAATGAGACCAAGGATCTGCTCAATAGCTCCTGACATGGAAGGCTGATGTGTCAACTTGTAACATACACAGATGACCCATCTAGATCAATAAATTAGCATTACTAGATTTCCCCGCAGAGGGTCGTTTTAGACTCTTCGTTCGCATCTCAGTCAGCTCAAGAGTCTTTCCTATCTGGAATCGCGGTCCTCCGGAGCAGCGATCGTCCGGAGGCTTCAGCAGGTCGTCAGGTCCCATTTTCTCCCTTTGGCTCCGGGGACTGGGGAAAGATGAATGCGTGCAACCCGGCACATTGGTTATGGTAGAGCGTGGTCGGTCGATTGCACGGTCGCCGGCAAGGCTAGCAGCTGTAGTCCGCTCGATTCGCGACCAGCCGAGCAGCCAACCGAAGCAAGACGTGATTCGATGCGTGCTGCGAGGGCAGCACGCAACGCGACGTCATCCGTCATCTCAGGATGAAACTGCATGAAGAAGCCGTAGGGGAGCAACACTGTCGCCTGAACGCCCATTGCAGCTACCGGAATGTGATATTATTGCGATGCACCGAAGTCTGACGGAGGCCCTTCCTCTGGGTACGAACCTCCTCCAACCGTTGCGCTGTCGACCTGGTCATCGCTCCGGCTGTGTAAAATGAATTCTCTCACTCGTTGGAAGCTTGCGACAGAATTGATGACGGATGTGACCTCATTGCTCAGTCCTGGTGGAGGAGTCTTTGCAACTCAAGGAAGGAAATCGAGAATCGTATCGCAGCTCCACTGTATATCCGCTGTATATTGATGACTGATCAAAATTAGGGAACAAACACGTTTTCATCACGCGAGCCTCGCTCCTGTTCCTGGGGATCTTCTTCGTCACCGAGATGCGGAAATCTGTCGAATACTGACCCTTACCGTGTAGCCCGACTTGCGTTCATACGGCGACTAGCGAACTCTCGTTCGCGGGATCCGCGGCGACGTTTTCAACGGTCTCGAACCTGATTATCGTATCCTGCTCATCGATCTGGTTGTTGAGTACAGGAACAGGTCCAGGAGGTGGCGCTCCAGGCCCGTTCGGCTCCGAGAAATTGTTCCGCACAGCACACTGTACCCCTTTTTGCTGTTCCCAGAATCGCATTCGATCAAGATGAGCTTTTCACACCCTTGCGACCTCGCATCACTGGATCGACTCACTCACGCCGCCGATATCGAGATCGAATCTCTCTATTCGAACGGATTTCTCTCAATGATATCGGTCAGGTCGGGGAACATGCGGGACACATTTGCCGGAAGGAGAACAAACTCGTGTCAATTATGCGAAGCTCGCCGCGGGCTTCCGGAGTCTCTTTCGCATCCGAAGACATAAGTGCTATCGATTGCTCGGGCGAATTCGTTTCTTGTTTGGCGTCGCAATCGATCGAGGTTCAGCGGCTGATCGCGCCCAGCAGCCTCTATGGTGATGGTGGCTCCACGGCATAGATAGAAGCGGCGAATCTCGAAGATTATGAAGCGTAAGGGTCTACGTCTATAACCATAGTAGGCTCGACGACGTCCTGTTTACTGATTGAGTCATCTCAATCTCCAGGGTCTGAATCGTGAAAAGATGAAAGAGAACCCCACTTCCAAGCTGACGCAACGAGTTGCCATGAGTCGGACGTGAGCAGTGTCGCACCGTCGTTAAGAAATGGCGAGGCTAGATTCTACACGGATCGACAATGATTGAACTCGATCGTCGAGTGGGACAGGGTGTGACTCGCCCGGACTTTCAACCTTGTCGATGCCTGAATTGAAACTCTAACGAGCTCGGCTTACATTCCGGCTTATTTTCTGACTTCCACGAGCACGAATACTCGTCCACCGTCGGGAGAAAGCATGAGCCCTGGGGATTCGATCGAAAAATTAAGGCTGTTCGGCCGGGGGCCGAATCCATGTTCGCGTCGAAGAGGCCATTTTTTCTTCTCTCGCTTCGATATTGTTATATTTTCGCCCGTATGAGGATAAAAAACACGGTTCCTCGTATCGGGTTCCTCTGAAGTGCGACCCATGACGATACTGATCAATGAGAGATCATATGACTTTTTACTGTGGGAACGCGGGAGTTCCCCAAATAATAATCATTACTTTCAAGTCATTTGATGACGAATAAAAGGGCTAGGAATAAGCCCGGAACAATTCAGTTCCATCCTGTAACGACGAAGCTCTGTATCCGACTAACGAAGTGAGAGTTATCACAACTGGCGACGAGGATGATTAGCAAGGAAGACTTCGAGGCGATGATGTCACGCTTGATGAAGGAGATACGGAGGGACAAGAACTCATCAGAAACCCCACGGTCTACTCCAGAAACGACGACCATGAACCTTCTCATGAGACAGATCCCCGAGTTCCGGTATGACCCCGAAGATGGTTTAACATTCGATTTGTGGTTCAACCGCTACGAGAGTGTGCTCGAGAAGGAAGGAGCAGCACTGGATGACACTGCGAAAGTCCGGTTTATCGTACAAAAACTGGATCAAGACGCATTCCAGAAATACGACGCCCATATACTCCCGAAAAAGTACTCCGATTTGAATTTCGCAGACACGATCTCAAAACTCAAGGAACTGTTTGGACACCGAGGGTCGGAGTTCGCCCGAAGGTATCAGTATTTCCAAAGTAAATGCGAGAATACCAGTGGAGGAACCTTCGACGATTATACTGGGTTAGTCAACAAACGACACGAACTATCAAATATGTCGAAGATCACGGCTGACCAGATGAAGTGTTTGGTGTGGATCTGTGGCCTCAAGGGTTCCGAACACAACGACGTTCGGGAACTCGCCTTACAATTTATCGAGGACAAACCAGAGTCCACACTGAGCCAACTTCATCAACATGTGAAAAATTTCACAAGGCTACAGAGCACTTCACGTTCGATCGCTGGCGGGAGTCTACATGA